GAGAGAGAGAGAGAGAGAGAGAGAGAGAGAGAGAGAGAGAGAGAGAGAGAGAGAGAGAGACAGACAGACAGACAGACAGACAGACAGACAGACACCGACAGAGAGAGGGATAGGGGGTGGGAAGGAGCAAATCGGGGGGGAAAGGAAGAGAGGTAGAAATGAGAGAACCGGAAGAGATGCACACATGCACACAAACCACTGTATTCGTTGTAAACGAACTTTACCGACGCAATGCAACATCATATGCCAAAATCCTGCAGGAGCCCACATTCTCGCACCAACCAGCAAGCTGCACCATACCTTTATGTGTATGTGTGTCTGCAAGAAAGAGAAAGAGAAAGAGACAGAGAGAGGGAGAGAGAGAGAGAGAGAGAGAGAAAGAGAAAGAGACAGAGAGAGGGAGAGAGAGAGAGAAGGGGTGACGTGAAGCCTGCCGTTACATACACAGATCTCAGAACACTGATGTGGCTTGAACGTATGGCACAGAATGAAGGGAAGCCAAAAAAAAAAAAAAAAGAGAAGCACACTGTACAGTTACCCGCTTGCTAAAAATGGAATGAGATAAAAACTATAAAAAGTTAAAAACGGAATATGTGTCCTTTTTTTTTTTTTCCCCCTTACCTTTTCTAAGCCTTCGTACAGCATCTCCAAGTACAAGTCCATCCCCAGTCTTGATGCCTCACCACTCTGTTTCTCTCCGAACACTGTGCCAATCCCTCGGATAACCATGTCACGCTCTGCAAGCTTAAAACCTTCGCCTAGGCCGCAGCACTCTTCCAAAGCTCGAAGTCTTTCCTGGGACGATGCATGTGCAACACAGTCAAAAATCTTTTTCTTTTTTTCCCATTTCAAAGATGGAATCCATTGATAACCCAGTCAAAAATTTGGCCCTGACTATTTTCTAATCCTTCTCCCTTCTCCAAAGATAACATTATCATAATATAATAGGAAAAATATGCAAGGATACAGGGTTGTAAGACTGCCTACGGCGGACGCCAACAGTAGGCAGTAGTCGGCTCGCCTACCAGTCAGACCGACCCGTACACAGACTGGTCGGTAGTCTGTAGATGGCCATGTACTGTTTTTTCTTCAAACCTGAGTTCAGGGCTGTATTGCGCTTGCTGGGTACAGCCCAATACCTGTCTCTTATACACATCTAGATGTGTATAAGAGACAGAGTTAGTTGTATTCTGATGTTATATCCCCATAAGATTCGGTGTTTCGTTACCTGAACACACTTCAGAGTTTTCGGGTTTTACTTAGTCATATTTCAAAGTTTAATCTGAGCCCGGTTTCGATGTTTCGTTACCA